GGAACCGTAGTATATTTAAACAGCAAAATAAAGGGTAAATTTTTTTTCGATTTCGCCTAATTTTTTTTAATGCCGAAATTCCATACTGTAAATATACGTACTTTCCGTCACGATTTCGTACTGTTCAGTCCTTGCCCCAGAGCGCAATCGCTCTCGCGGACAAAACAATTCCGACAGTCACATTGGCCACTGTACGATAGCGATAGGAGCTCCTACTGTTCAGACCAGCGTTCCAACATGACTATCCGCGCGTTGATCGATTGCACGTAACCCCTCAAGTGGTATTAAACTTTTTAATGTAAAGCGGAATGTCAACCTGCGACACCCCACCCCCTCAGATCACGGCCCGACCAACGGTATCAATGCCCGACAGTTTACGATCTCATGTTGTTGTGACGCCACTGATACGCGAACACACGGTCACATCGGCGATAATTCCAGTCTTCTGTTCACAACCCCCAACACTGCCATCAAGATGCTACAGCTATATTGCTGACACGCACAAATACAGAACCACGTTGAACGCCGGTTGCACTCGGCATCGGAAAACAGAACTGAACTCAGCACGGAAGGCACCCAGGCAGCCGGCAGCAAAACCTGCCTGCCTTGGACGCAGTTCCTGCGGTTTCCATACCGTCGAAAACGTCGACACAGTTCCGCGTGGTTTCGCTACTGTAGTGACTGTAGTTCCGCGCCGCGCGAGTCCCGCAATCCGGAGACGGCCATCCCCCAGTGTACGTGGCGCTGCTGGCACTGCTCCGGAACTTCGCTGTTTCTAGCGGCTTCGTTTGCTCGTTTGATAAAATTAGTGATAAAAACGTCAATGCAACCGAAATATTCTGCAAGTTTAGACTAGAAGACGGAATTACAGGCGGCCTTTGCTGCCGCTGAGGCTCAATCAACTCAACAGCTATTTATTAAACAACGTGCGCGACTTGCTCAGAAAACGAAACCGAAAGAAGATGAGTCGGGAGGGCGAAAGCTTTCTCCCATCTGCCTGGAGAAGGAGAAAAACGTTTCGGTTCCTCCACTTTTCTCGCGTCCGCTTGGGGGCGCGTCAGTAGAAGGGAGGAAGACGCGCCGTTGCTACTTTTTTCCTCCATTTTTTCTTAGAGTGCACCTTCTTTAAGTTATGCGAAAAACGATGAATGTATGGCAGGACTGTTGGTCGGTGACTTCTGTCCCTTTCTTTGTCTCGTTTACCGCGTGAAGTAATCAAACTCAGCGACTTCATACAACAGGGAACTCGGGTATCCAGAAGACTTGAGTCTTTGCACTTGGGTCTTAGAGAACATGCTCTTGCACTAAAGTCGTCACCAGCAGGACACCTCGCCGTGCATGTACGAGACTGTCACTGCTCGCCTTTGTTGAACAACACCAAAGTGCTGAGGCGTTACGGCGAAAAACGAGCTAGAGAACTTTTCGAGGCGTCACGCGCGGGAACACCTGCATCAGCGCCCCTTCGGTGACCCTTTCACCAAAAGAACTACACTATATTGAACTCCACCAGTAATGATCCATACACCGCAAGAAGTGTGTAGTGTACATTATGACAGAATTTTAACTTGTGTTTCACATTAGGTCCGACGAAGTGTTCAACATCTGAACGTTCCGGCTTATTTTCTGAGATTTTTTCTTATTTCTTCTTCCTTTAGTACAGCAACCAAAGGTAGTCACGAGTTTGGCGTTTTCCTTCTTCTTTTATCAAGACAACCTAGGGCGCGGTCGTATTTTCGTTGGGTTTTTCTCTTCCTTTTATTGTTAAAATGCTTCCCGTCCTTCTTGTCTTTTGTGTCAGTTGTGAGTAGCGCTCTGTCCTGTCTTACCTTTCTCTTCTCTTGTCGTTTGCGCTAATTTTATCTGATCATGTTTAACCAACTAGCCCAACAGATGATATTGATGCAGTTCCTGACTCGACGCTGGAGACAGCGCTTCTCTCTAAAGGTTCCGTACCACCGATTATACAAACGCACTGAAAAGCTCTCAGTAGGATCACCACATGCTGACGCTCCTCTTTCTGTTAAGCCCACTCAGCTCCGTTTGCTTGCGTTATGTTACGAGAGCTTACTCAGATTGAGTCACCGGGACATCCGTGCTTCGTGTGAAGCCTGTCAGGCAATTCAGTAAGTACCTTTGCACACGGAATACGAAGCACGTATGTCTAGGTGATTCAGAATGTAACGTAAAAAAAAACTTAGGCATGCGCCCTAGTGAATGAGCTTTTACATGTGCTGCTGGCGAAGTAGAGGCTAGCTTCCTGGATTTGATCGCGCCTCGGCTGCACGAAAGCTCGAGCAAACGGAACAGCTGTTAAGGCTACGTTCTTGCGCTTCTAGCCTTTGCAGTATTGGCGACGTGAGCTATCGAAAGCGTCGCTGTGGTCGGCCCACCATAATTGGCCGAATGCTGACTATGACGTCAACAAAGGATGTCTCATCGACGGAAATAAGGGGAATGTAGGAACTTCATTTTTGACGGTGTTGGCAGTGCTGCTTTGAGAGCGCTATGATTTCAGGCTTCCACCATGCCCATTGCTAACACCATCGAGCTTGTTGTTCACAAGGTCACGGAAGGTAACCGAACGAGGGCGCCACCTAAACATCTCGCCGCTAATAGTCCATGCATAGCCTCCTCTATTCTGAAAAAGCCTGTGAGATCGCCACGACACGCAGCCGCCAAAAGTGAAACGGTAGAGCGGCAGACAACGGATGAGAGGGGTCACGTAACGGGCGCCCCGCTGCGGCGAGACGTCGAAACACACTTCTCCCAAACGATGGAATGTCCGCTTGCGCTCCTCGCGTTCCTCGAGCTATCGCTTCTTTTCTCGTTGGGTTTGAAAACCATGTTTCGGGTCCTCGCTGCTTCAAAAGCTGTGCACTGACTATAGGCTCCCCGAGAAATGCTCTGTGCTACCAGATCCTCGGGCTTCAAACCTGCGACCGGGCACTCTATGGCTCCGTCTTCGAACTGCCAGGCTTTGTGAGCATAGAGGAGGCTATGGTCCAGGTTAAGTTTAGACGAAGTGTAGAAGCGCGTTATGCAACCTGCCCCGGTCGAAGATAGTTTTAACTAAAGTCACTGCATCTTGGGAAAGTAGCGGCATTACCTTCTTCGCCTGCTAGCCGGACACACACAAATAATACGAAAACGACCAAACCTCATAGGGTTATTGACTGATCGCTCTCAGTTGCCATGACAATCGCTATTTCGATTCATTCAAATCGTCGAAGTTTCGAAAGGGTCGTTCTGAACCAGTCGCGCCAAGATCGCTATAGAGCATCATCGTATTCAAAGCGTTCCGCGCCAGTATAAGCGTCTTTGGCACTGTGCAGGCAATCAACTTATCAATCGTGCTTATTTCCTCAGATTACTTACAATGGTGGTGGCCTTGCTTAGTTGAAGACAAGAAAATTATATTTCGATGCCTCCAAACAACGACGTCACATATGGTGGCGGAGCGAAGATATGCGCTTGTTTCGCCGGTGTGTGGATAACGAAATTTCTGTATTGAAGAAATGTCTTTATAAAGAAACCTGGAGAGGCCAAGGGAGTAACTACTCATTCCATGAATTGAAATGGCGACAATTCGGGGAGCGTGGCACCACTTTCCCAGGATCCAATGACTTAGCTTTACTAACGTTAGTTTTACTCTCTTGAACTTTAAAAGGACCTTGAAATTAATTTTGGATTGAGATAAATGGTTTTATATTGGGATTTTACTAATCGCATATCGTTTAATGGACCAAAAGAAAACTAGTACACGAGGTCAGGGAGCCAAAAGCCATGCTTTTTCGGTACTAATCTTTTAATATGTAGCTGACTATTTTTTACCTCCTTTCTTCGAAAGCGCTCCGCCTTTTCACTGTGATGCATCCGCGGTGCTCAAGTGTCCAAGTTTCCACCGCCCTTCAAAAGCACGGTGGAAACTTGGAGTCATCGTATACGGTGCCCCAGTACGTCACGACCACGTGATTTTTCATTTTGACTGAGTTGAGGATTAAAACTAAAATATTCTATGGATCAAAAAAACATATTCTATGGTCCCTTTAATAATGAGCATTTTTTTCCTACTGAGAAGGACAAGCGTTGCGGCTATGATCTTAGGAATTGTTTTCTACTGTGAGTAAGCCAGCGGCTTCACAAGTCCGCAGTGACATATTTACAATATCGCACATCTCTGAGACAAATACCCACTGTTACTTCTCTAACCCCTGTTTTTCTTCTCACCCGTTGCGAAACCTCCGGAATATTGCGACATTTCCAGAAAAAAACTGAGCGCCGTACCAGCATTTTTCCGGCCACCCTTTCATGCTGGACTAGCGCTGCGCTGCCCAGAGGAAGCGATCTTTCACCTGCCCCAAGGTGGAACATATACTCGTTTGTGATCATGTAAATTTTAGAACCTTCTATCCCACGGACATTTCACATGGAATTTTTATTAAAGCCCCCTAACGTTTACCACAAGTGGCCTCGGTTGCATGCTGGCCTACCCCGCAGTTTAGATCAAGTCGTGAGGCGTCCATGTTAGTAGTCTCAGAGTGCAGCGTTGTTTACGTTGTATAGCTGAGACGCATCGTAAAAGTGGATGCACCTCAGCAATAGCACAAGAAAGCCGACAGGGGATGCCGGCTCTTCACGTTTGTGCGCTAGTTTGCCGATTGTGATCTGGCACTGGGTCAAACTGCCATAGGTAACGCCCATGCGCCTGGGATATCTGTCTATTTACGCGACGACGCCACGAACAATACTATGAAGCAAAGATTGACGAGAGTTTATAAGAACGTATTTTTATAGGGCCAGATTTGTTTCATTTTATTCGGTCATTATTCGCCGAAGGTAAATATAGAACATTATATATTTGAGAAAGACCGTGTTCATGCGCTTCGAAAGCCGTTCTTTCTAGAAACATATCCGTAGCTCTAAGGACAGAATTCATGTAAATTGAACAACCACTCGCGCAAAAATATCTAGTCAGTAAAATAAATGATGCAAACGGTGTAAAGCAGAGAAGGCAGCCCATATGTGTATCGTGTGCGATTCTCGAATAAAAAGTAAAACCCCAAAAAGCGAGTGTGTCATTCAGGCGACGGAGTTCATGCCGAGCCAGGAGTACCCGAAGATAGAGCCGTACAGCCAGGTCTTCCAGAGCAGACTTCGTCCAGCGGCCGTGAAAAGGAACAGGCAGATGAACACCGTCGTAAGGAAGAGTACCACGTGGTTGTAGAACTGCTGGCAAGGAACCGTCATGGGTTCGGACAGTTCCGAAGGTGTGCCGTCCGTGCCGTAGTAAGCCTCCAAGAGACTGAAAGGGATAAATTGTGGCCATAAGACAGACTGTTGCCATATTTACAGGAAGCAATATCAGACGGCCGCACAACTACTGCGTCTTTTCCCCTTCATTTTGGAAACACAAAGGATACAGGCAGAAGTTACGTGGAACCCGCTTTGTTGTAACCTGTTTTGATGCGGTCCTGCTAAGCAGGGTTGAACAGATTTTCGCTTCTCTCCAGTGCAAACAAAGCCGCTGGTGCGTGGCTTTGGAAAGCACCTCCTATGCACAAACTATCTGTAGTGTCATCGCGACGTTACCACTCAGGAGACTGATCTGCATGCGCATGGTAGGCGGCGCTCGCGTATTATCTCGACCACAGCCGTATATTGGGAGAGTTTGGCCAGTGGGCGGAGCAAAGGCCGCCACCTGCGTCGGATATTTAGCCGCGATTAGAGCGTGAACTAAAAAGGCGCACAGCGTCGACTGATCAGCAGACCTCGGCGTCACAATATTGTAAAGGATATTTAAAATGTGAAATAGAACCGTTCAATCTCGCAGCAGCAAAACGGCGACGTTGAGAAGATGCCACACTGGGCGTCGGCGGTGCCTTAATCTAAGACCTGGGCCTCGGTACCTCGGAGGCGGCAGCTTTCTGCTTTGACTGTCCTACCTCATTGGAGCCTGATGCTTCGACCTCAATAATCGACAGGACCATCATGGTCCTGAGGCTCCCTTGTGCAACCGTGCACCGATAGAACGGCAGGCTACAGATCCCCCTGGCCCGCATGCTGACCCACCTCAACGAAATGTGGACATCTTCATATCGATCTGACATCCTCCGCAATAGCAACAATCTTCTCGCCGTCCTCTTGCATGTGTATACTCAACGCATTATCATGTTAATTAGACCCGGCACCGCGGGCCTCCGTGGTACGGGCTGTTGCCTTTCCGCGGTGCCGCGGCTCTCCAGAGCCGAATAAAGACATTGAATTACATCACATTAGCAATGATTGTAACTATGCAGTTTGCTTTGGTTCGGAACGCGCGTTCGCTTATTCTTCCGTTGAGTATGAACTTGACAAAAACCTCCACACGCCCCAAGTTTTCAGTCACCAAAAGTTACACATTTTCACTCTAGCGACGCTAAAACGCCTTAAATTAGTCGAGTCACAATTTTAGAGCTCACGACCACCGCTAGGGGCTGTTGTTTGGCCTGTGGTTGGCCACGAGACGCTCACCTATTCAAACCAATGAATATGCAAACTCTCGAATCATACGGCTCTGATCTGGACTAAAGTCCCTTCATGTTTCAAAAGTAGCGCAAGGTCTGTCGATGCACGAATTATGTCCCACGTGCAGTCCTGGGGAAGATCATGGCGGCACAGCGCAGCACTGAGCTAGATTTCCGACGCCATGCTCTTCCCAGGAGTAGCGCGCGGCACGCGTATCGAGCATTTCCGCAACAATGAATGGCGCCACTTTTTCCAGGAGAGAGGGGCTTTAATCTGGACGGGATGTGGTTGTGAATATCGGGAATGCGTTTGGCATGACCTTTGGGAAACGCCACACAGGTCCCCCTTAGGGAAACGCTAACGCTGACCCCTTCACTTTTCTGTTTTAACTTTCTCTTCTGCTGCCTCCATTTTTTTTTTTTTTTTTGCTGCCTTTTTTTGGTTTCGTTACGGGGGCCAAAATCAGCGTTTCCCAAAGGGGGAGTTGGGTTGCGTTTCCCAAAGATCACGCTAACGCATTCCCTAGAGATCCACTAATGGATCTTCCTTTAATTCTTACCGTCTCTTGTTGTTGTTGTTTTTTTGTTTTTTTTTTATACGCGCTGGTTCTGCTCGTCTGTCTCGTTCGCTCGCCTTGCACGCTTAGCAGCGCCAACCGCTGCCTGACGCTGCTTTCTCTGTTCACCGGTTTCGGCAGCCAGCACTAGTACTCCATCTTGCAGCGTAAACCAAAGCATACACGCTCCTCACACCTGCAAGTTCAGACTCGCCCCAGCATCCGGGCGCGCATTGGCTTCCGCCTCGTGACGTCGCCACCCTCTCACATTTGTCCTTCACTACTCTCATCCTCTCTAGGGGGCGCGCTTCTCTTTACACTGTTCTGTCCACAGACCGTGGGACGCCGTCAGGTTTTCCTGTCATGCAGCGAATGCTAACGCAATAAAATACAATGTCTGGGAATTCAAAAGGGGCTTTTAAAGACTCGCCTGGCACTTGGTCGCAATGTCGGTCTCATCCAGACGTCGAGCCGTACGGCACACGGCATCTAAAACTGGAAGTCAACTTTTTTCAGATAGCCTTCCGACCTTTCAGCGCTGCCCACGAGAGCACTAGGGCTCCTTTTCCTATTTAAGCATACCTTTGAACTGGGCAGCCGAAAGTTTGGAAGGCTATAAGGCCGCCAGAAACTCCTGCTCTGATGCGTGGCAAAAGGTAGGGGCTGAGCTTTTTCATTTTAAAGGTACAAAGAACCTCGCAATTGTGGACTATGTTTCCCGCTTTCCTGAAATCGCACTGTTATAGTTAACAAGTTATCCTATGGTTAGTATGCAGTTGAAAAGTGTTATTTTTTTGCCGGACATGGGCAATTTAAGGTCGCCATGGCCGAACGGTCTTAAGAGCCTCGAAAAGAATAATGAGGCCATCAGAGAAAAACACAGGCGTATCTACGGAGCGGCGGAGCAAATATTACTCGTACTTAATACTTAATAGCCCCCATTTCTTAATTCAACACCTTGAGAAAAAGCAAATGTAGATAATTAGTCTAGGCTTCTAGATAAAATGAAGTAATAGGTGGAACGAAATAGTGCTGATTGGTTGGTGAGTTAGTGCTGAATTTGAGAATATATCGGAGCGCTCGTAAACAAAGCAAAAGGATAACTGGAAAACAGAACACCAGTGTACGCTAACTTTCAGCTCTTTACTCATAAGACGAAAGTATACACCAACACAGTGTTAACAAAAAAAGGCCGTGTTTGCCCACACCGTGTGTTGGCATTGCCCGTGTGCATAAAACAGATTCTCTGAGGCGAAGCTTCTGCGCATACGCAGTGCCGACAGCAGCGCCAGCGCAGATGTGTGGCGTCAGAGCGTTGAGTTGGTGTATGAACACTTTGCCATCGCACGACTATTAGCCATATCGATACCCCACCCCTTCTTGGATCCGCCGCTGAGAAGGGAACGCAGCCGTAATCATGAGCGTGAACGCAAATATGTCCATCCCGAGATTTGTTTCCATTTGAATGTATAATGTTGCCATTTCATCAACTGCACGTTTGTCCAACGTGTTTCTTTTCACGTGGCAGTGGAATGTGATGGACGGTCGATCGCGCTAGCAATAGCGGGCTCCTGTGATTCTTCCAGCAGCCCAAAGAGGCACTGCGTAAAGGATCAGTCAATTTACACAAGATAAACGATGGCTTCGTTACTCTGAAGCCTAGCTGACTTAGGGGTTCTAAAAGGTCCTTAGAGAATGACGAGGACATAAGCATGGCTTGCACGTGACGTCAATGCACCATGCTCGCAGTCACTCCTGCTTGTTCTTGCTGATGACAAATTTGGTGTTGCCAAACGACTGCAGCAGGTATAGACGTTCAGCAGCGAGGCAATCGCAATGGTAGGTAATGCGACGTCGGCGCAAGTCATGCATGCTTTCAGAACGGAGAGACTTACGCGTCCTTTTCGTAGAAGAGGTCCAAGAGGAAATTCTTGAGGCCCTTGTCGTCTTCGGGCAACCTGTCGACCGGCGTCCGCTTCACGTGCATGTGGATCTCGTCGCACTTGCCCAAGAACATGTCTGCGCCCCAAAACAAGCTGTTGAGTGCACGACCACTTTGTAAACCGGACGCGGTTAGTATTCAGCAACTCTACGAGCACTGCTCATGTTGCACTGACACCACGACAAATTGACGGCCCGAGTCTACAGCTTTCTTAGCAATTGAGTGTAGACTTATTTCCAATGAACTGTTGGTCCAGTTGGAAAAGCTATCGCCGTAATGTGCGTTTAGACTAGCGCGATGGCTTCACACCTTTTTCGTAGAAATTCTTTCGTCTCTTTTTTGATCAGGAGCGCATTCCATAAGAGCTTACCGGCACGGGCATTGAAAGTTAATTGTGCTACTTGGTGCTAAGGTGGAATTTTTTTATCGATGATTTCTTTGTATCTTTTACGAGCGTGTGCCGCTCACATTGAGCGCAATAAAGAGTGGCATCATCCTAAACTAGTGCTTCACGTGGGCTTTCGAGTCGCCTACCCTATTAAAAGGATATTGAGGCATCCTGAACAAACGGGGCAAAAGTGTTGCCCCTGGCCGCCGCATTACATAGATGCTGATGTCCCTGGCGCCCGCATCTATCGTAATACGGATGCCGGGGGCAGCAGATGCGGATATCAGCAGGTCCAGATTTATATTTTTGCCGAGGCGGACCATGAACGTCTGTAACCGCAGAGTGTAAAGTGTATGAGTGAGTGATGCTATGAAGTGCATCATGAAATGTTTTGCGAGAGCAGATTACTTTCTTAGAAAAAGGGTGGCCAACGGGAAGAAAATTATTCTTTAAACCAGGAATGATCCCATTCTACTAAATATTGTTTTAGACAGATCTATAGGGTGTCCCAAGTCACCAGGCTTGTTCTAAAATGGGCCGTAAATATCGACGCTTGCACGTAGCAATCTAAACTTTTCATCAAAGGTGGATTTTACTGGTCGGTTTTAGAGCGCAGCTCTTAGGAGCCCGTTTCCGGCTTGAGCGGCGTCGGCGTCGCCGTTGGCGCCGCCGTCGCCGTCGGCGTAACCGAGGTCACCCCAAGGTCACGTGACCCCAAGGGCATCCCAAGGTCACGTGACCCCCCAGGTCAGGTGACCCCCAAAGTCACGAGACCCCCAAGGTCACGTGACCCCTCCCAAGGTCACCCCAAGGTCACGTGACCCCCAAGGTGACCCCCAAAGGTCACCCCAAGGTCACGTGACCCCCAGGTCACGTGACCCCTGCCTAGGTCACCTCGAGGTCACGTGACCCCCTTAAGGTAACTCTTACGTAACCCCCAGATCACCCCAAGGTCACGTGGCCCCTCCCCGAGGTCACGTGACCCCCCAAGTCACGTGACACCCCTAAGTCACGTGACTCCCCCAAGTCACGTGACTCCCCCCCCCCCCCCCCCCCCCCGAGGTCACGTGACCCCCCGGAGCATATTGAAGAATGAGGGGAGGAGGAGGAGAAGGAGGAAGAGGAGTCTACCCTTTCCTCAGTACCCTTCCCTCGTCCTCCTCAAAAGCTGCGCTCCGATTCGGCGTTACAGGGAGTTGTAAACGGCTTTCACTTTTTTTATTGTGAAATTACAATGGCTAGCTTTCCCTGTTTAAAAAATAAAAATCAAGAAACTTGCCAGGCTCAACGACGGCCGGCGACGCAGACGACCGAGTCGAGTTGCGGGGTGCGTTTGGCGCGCGTATTGATAGATCGCGTCTGCAGCTGCGTCTGAAGGTGTAGCCGACCAGCGAAAAAAAGCAGACGACAAGCATACGAAATCTGTTGGTAGCAAAAACGTCGTCGTTATGCAAACGCGTTTTTTTTTCCTCCTTAAAGTTTTGTTTTCATTGCACGCATTTTGTTTTTTAACCAAAAACACATTACAAAAAAGATTATGTTCAATTCAATAAACCATGGTGGTCGCGAGTAGTTTCGTCAAGGAGGTAGCGCGCCATCTATCAATACGAGCGCCAAACCCCACCCCGTTACTCGACTTTGTCTTCTGCGTCGCAGCCCGCCGTTGACCCTGGTAAATGTTTTGGCCCTATTTTTCACAGAAAGAGAGCTACGCTTTGTAATGGTGTCGATAATGATAAATATATGAAAGCGCCTTTTAACGTATCCAGTACCAACGACCATGCTTAAAAAAATAGAGAAATTCCTTCTAAGGGTGACGTACTGCGACGCGCCTTTTTGTAGAGATCGTTCGCGATTGGAACTTATTTCTGTCGCGCGCTGGTCTTAATAGCTTCCAATGATGCCCTTTTCACGCACTTAATGTGTTTTTTTTTTGTGAGTGTCTGCATATTGTTTGTCTTCTCTCCCCCCCCCCCCCCCACGCACGCACACTGTAATGCCTGATGGGAAATGGGGTACCTGAATAAAGATAAAGATAAAGCGAATTTTACAATAAAAAACCGACCTGTGAATTACACCTTTGACGAAACGTTTAGATTGCTACTTGCAGGCGTCAATTATAACGGTTCATTTTAGATCGAGCCTGGTGACTTGGGACACCTTATATTTTATCAAAAGTGCTATCCCTAAAGAAAGTACAAACCATGTACTTATTTGACAAAGGAAGAGTAGAAAACGTTCTTCAGGGAAAACAAAAAACAAACACCAAAACACACAAGCCTCAGAAAGTATAAAAATCGGTTGCAAATGAAGGTTAAAACGATCCTCGCTAGGGGGCGGGCATGGGAGCGGAAAAGGAGAAAAGGAAGAAGTTGAAGTAAATCATTCACCAGAGCTGGGTCGTCTGTTCCTTCCCCTACGAGCGCTCTCAAGGCTGAACAGTTGGTGCCGAAACCCGGGAGTTGAACAAAGTTAGACGCCACATTGGTGAATATGGATCGACTAAAGAAGAAACGAGCGGTTCGACGCAGCCGGAACACCAAGTTCATAAATGAGATACGAGCTGCACTACAGTCGCACCCCATGGACTCCAAGAGACTTGAAATGTTGCGTGACAGACTGCTTGCTAGCAACGACGAGCTTTGGAAAGTCAGTGAGGAGATAGAGCCCCTCATCGACGACAACGACTTGGAGGAGGACAACACTGTGGCTGACTTCGAGGACGAGGTTGCAAGGATTGTCAGTGAGGTGCGAGCCCAGACGACACTGCAACCGCCACGCTCCGGAGGCAACAAAGACAGCAGCTCCCACTTGACTGGAGTGAAGCTCCCGAAACTACAACTGCTGCAGTTCCAAGGTGAGCTTAAAAAATGGCAACCATTTTGGCAACAATTCGACGTCACGGTACACCGCAACACAGGTCTTTCTGAGCCGGAGAAGTTCCAGTACTTGCGCTCACTTCTCGTTGGACCAGCAGCCAGTATAATCTCTGGGCTACAAACCACCGCAGCATGTTACCAAGATGCGGTAGAGATGCTGACCGAGCGTTTCGGTGATAAACAATGAATCGAACGCGAATATCTGGGAAGACTGCGTAAGCTACCAGCTGTGAAATCTGAGCGCGACGTACAGAGACTACGGAACGTCTACGATCACGTGCAAACAAACATCTATGGCTTGCGTTCCCTGGGTATTTCAAGTGATACATACGCATCTATGCTGGTTGATATACTTCTGACCAGCTTGCCATCACACCTCGTAGTGGAGTACTACCAAATCAAGAGCTATATGCCACAACTGGCTCCTCCTACTCTCACCAAACAGACTGCAGCCACTTCCAGTGGTGCGACACGTTGTGAGGCTGTGGTTGATACATGGAGGACTGCGGGAGAAGAGCTAGCTAAGCTGCTACGAATTCTACGGTTGGAAATAGGGAGCCGCGAGCGATCCTCACGTGAAGAGCGTCCATCAGCGAATCTTTCACCATGGGCTTCCAGACCTCTACAGACTATCTCGATTCCTTTAACAATGGTGCTGCAAAACTCAAGTCATCTGGATGACGCTTGTTACTTCTGTGGAAAGGAGGATCATGGTGCCAGCACTTGTTTTTCCGAAAACTCCTTAGATGAGAAGAAAAGGCGGCTTGCACAGGATAGCCGATGTTTCCGATGCACGAAAAGAGGCCATCGCTCTAAGGATTGTCGCAGCAAGGCTCGATGTGCTACGTGCAGCGGGAGACATGCCGCCTTCATGTGCAACCCAGAGTGGCGGCCAAAATCACTCCATCATAGAGCTCCGGCCGAGAGCGGAGAGGCCACCGATGTCTTAGCAGCAGGTTCCACATCTTCACCTTGTGGCAGCCATACCTCGGCAAACCTAACTCATGTCATGAGGCAAACCTCACTCATGTTATGTCACTCGCCCTCATCTTCACAGGTGAGGTGAGGGTGAGTGAGTTTCTGAACAAGGAAAATTCATGAGTGTAAGGATGAGTGAGGGCCGTGAGGGCGATGAGTGCGTGAGGGGCGTGAGCGCGGTGAGTGCGTGAGTGTCGTGAGGGCCATGAGTGGCGTGAGGGGCGTGAGGGGTATGAGGACGATGAGGGCGGTGAGTGCATGAGGGGTGTGAGGGCCATGAATGCGTGAGGGGCGTGAGGGCCATGAGTGCGTGAGGAGCGTGAGGGCGGTGAGCATGTGAGTGGCGTGAGGACCATGAGTGTGAGAGGGGCGTGAGGGGTATGAGTGCGTGACGGCCGTGAGGGTGGTGAATGAGTGAGCTAGGCCCCTTCAGATGGAGAAACTTCTCAGCAATTTTGGTGTTGCTGGGGATTGTTCCCTAGCTTTCTCTAGATCGACACGAATTGCTGAGACCGGGTCCGGCTCGAAACAAGCGAGCAACTCGGAGCAATTCGAAGACGTTTGAAGCGGCTGCATCCTATTACGGACGCGATATTTTCACGTGATACCTCGTGTCTCTGATGATAACAAAAGACTTGGTTCTGGTTTGAAATTGATCATTTCTGGAAATAAACTGTTTCAGAAAGATGCATTAGTAAGCTCAGCGAGATTTAAATGCATAAAAACACGTTCATAGCACATAACTGTGCGTCTAAATGGTGTCAGAAAAAACATTTCGTGGTGGTGATGGCAAATTGCAGCAATCGATTGCTGTGTGTAAACGGGGGCGGCT